CCCCTTTCAGTTCTGTGTCACTCATGATAGACCCTCCCCTTTCAGTTTTGTGTCACTCATGATAGACCCTCCTCTTTCAGTTCTGTCTATCTTTATCAAGAGACTGACTGCCTTGGTGCCCCTCCTCTCTTTGCTAACAGCCAGGATGTGAGTGCACTGTGTATTAGTTGCACTTTTTACATTCAGTAATTTCTTGAAGTAGGAAAGGAAAGGGATGAAAGCTATGAAATATTTTTTTCATCTAACAAATGTAATAGAAAAATTCCTTCATATTTACAGGCCTAGCCATTGAATTGAATGCATATACTCAATACTAGGTAAATTCAGGTAAAGATTAATCATTCAAAAATTTGATGTCAGGTCAAACAACTTTCTGGGTTATATATTTCTCTTCTACTGCCTGGTTTACCTGTGCATTTTAGAACTGCTTCAAGTAACCATGTAACTTTAGAGAAATTAAAATTGCATATTTCTCTGGAAGAGACGTGAAGAATGGGCCAGATGAGAGGAAGAAGGTTGAACAATTTATAATTTATATTCAATGGGAGATGGGGGAAGACTAAGATGAATGTGTGTTCAGTTCAATATAAAAGAGTTTATTTGATGTGCTAATTTATATGTAAAAATAAGGCTTGTCTTTTAGTCTCTTCTCTTTCATTCCAGTTACCAACTTATTCCCCTCACAGTTTCTTCCATCTGTGAAGTGTCTTACACCTTACCTCCATTATTGAATTAACTGCTTAGTGTCTGACCCGTGGCAGTGTGGGATTTGGAAAATCCTGTTGGCTCTTTCAGGGTTGTGTTTGTAGAGCTGTCATCCAGTCCGCATCATTTCAATAGCGTACTGTGTTGTGCTGTTTACTATGGTGCACCAGGCTATGTTGGGCACCTGGTCCCTTGCCCTGTGAGTATCAGTCCCAAGTTTCCATGCCTCTGTACACCAGTCAGATTTGAACACTGGATTTTTTTCTTCTTCTGTTGTTTTGAAGTGCACATGGAATTGACTCTCCTTATTTGTATTTGTTCCTTAGCCAAATATCTCTTTGTCCTTCTTTTTATTCATATTCTTTCCCACTCCACCCCTTTCCTTCTTTCTCTCCCTTTCCTTTTATTTCTCTCTCTTTCCCTTCTCCCTTACCTTCCCCCTCTCCCCGGTGTGTATGTGTGTGTGTGTGTGTGTGTGTGTGTGTGTGTGAGAGAGAGAGAGAGAGAGAGAGAGAGAGAGAGAGAGAGCACGCGCATGTGTGTATACACAAGTGCCATAGCTTGGTGTATAAGGTCAGAGGAGAGCAGGAGTTGGTTCTCTTCTTCTACCTTGGATTTCAGGGATCAAATTCAGGTCATCAGGCTTGTTGGACAATTGCTTTTACCCGCTGAGCCACATCTCCTTGAACCTCCTTTCCTTTGCTTTCCCCTCCCCTCCCCTCTCTGAGACAATCTCACATAGATTAGTCTAGAATTTAGTTTGTAGCGAGAATGAACTGAAATACTCAGCCTCCTGACTCTACATTACAAGTGCTGAGATTATAGGCTTATGGCACCATACCTATTGGTTGGTTATTTTTACTTTTATTATTTATTTTTTAAACATTTTTTTATTTGTGAGTGTGCATGTGTGCGTGTGTATGTTAGGAAATTTAGGTTATTTCCAAATTGCTATAAATGTTTGCAGAATTTCATCATATGATTTAGGTTGATCTTGAACTTGCTATCATCCTAATTCAGCCTCTTTACTTCTAGGATTATAGGTGTGTTTCACCTGTCTGTCCTAAGATTATATAGGTTGTAATATTCTCCCTTTGGGTGAGAGTTCTGCCACAGGTGTATAACTCCACCATTATGAACACCACACTATTATTACCTCACAGTTCAGTCCTTCTTCCCTAGAGGAATCATAACCCATGAGAATCCTAAAATACATGCCAACAGATACGAGTCTTGCTTGGAACATGATTCTGATAAACTTATTAGTTTGCTTTTTTCGAGACAGGGTTTCTCTGTGTAGCCCTGGCTGTCCTGGAGCTTAATTTGTAGACCAGCCTGGCCATGAACTCACAGAGATCCGCCTGGGTCTGCTCAAGACTGCTGAGATTAAAGGCATGTGCCACCACTGGGCCGACTCTATAAAATTTATTTTAAAAATCTGAGAACAGAGAAAATTAAACACTATTGACCATTTTATGATTTTAATCAGACTCTTGGGGCATCCTCTCTCATTTCTCTTTGTCCTATGATAAACAACCCCCCCCACACACACTGTTCTCTCTCATTTGGTATTTGGATAAACTATTGAAATTGTGATTGCTTTTACTTAATATATATTTCTTAGATGTATTTGCAATTTGCAAATTGAAATACTTGTAAATAGAATTATATGATGTCTGTAATTGGCTATAAAATATCTATATTGGGTTGGGTTGAGGGACTTATGAAAGGGACAAGTTTAGTTTGATTAGTTATTTGAGAATTCATCAAACCATTCTATTTTTGTATTTTAAAGTATCCCATAATAAAAAGCCTTAAAAGAAAATGGGCTAGCAAAATGGCCCAGTGTGTTCGGTGCTTACTGCCAAGAGAGCAGCAAGAACACACATGGATAAGGAGAGCACTGACTTTCACAGCTGTCTCTGAATTCCATTCACATGAGAGTGCACATCACAATAAATATGAAAAATATTCTGTAAGAATTGTGAATAAAGTAGCTAATTCAGGTGTAGTATATGAACTGTTGAAAGGCTTCATGTGCTGCCCAAGAGTTTAGTGTAGGACTTGTGTGCAGAGTGATGAT